TATATATATATATATATATATATATACCTGATGAGTCCGTTGACCAGGTGGCAGTAAATCCTCCTCTGGACACTGTATGATCAGCAAGGAACACCACAACTAATTTGTTGGAGCCTGATTGGATAGTTCCTGGAGAGTTGTGGCCACAGTATTGACCAATAACTGGGGATCCTGGTGAGGCTCCATTGAAGATAGTCACTGAATCCCAGGTGCACTGGCTGTGTTCCTCCACTTCAAAGTATGTAAAAGTGAGCTAGAATATATGGAAATTAAGTGACGTTAATGATGAACTTCATTGTTAAGGTTGAAAGAAAACAGTAAAAAAACAACTGACCCAAGAAGCAGTCTTGACTTACAATGATAGTGTGGCCCACCGGAGCTTCGAGAAACCAAGTACAGCGGCTCGGGCTGGGGTAGTTATTGGGATATCCAGGGCTAGAGATGGCACCTCCCTCTCCACTTTGTGACCCTCCACATTCTGTGTAAAATCATAGTTAGTTGAGCTCATGCAGAATTTTAAAGAGCAGAGATCCCTCTGTTTAAGTGGAACCAACTGAACGATGGTACCTGAAAAGTAATACGTGGCTTTGAAGCCCAGGTCACCCACAGCCTCATCGGACAGGAAGTGAACCCAGAGTTCAGGGGTGGACACTACTATGGGGATCGTAGGAGGGGATTGACCACATAAATGAGCCAAAAGCTCTCCATTCATATCTCCTGAATACGAGAAACAGATAAAACATGCCATAATTGTTTGCTTATCAGCAACAGCTTTAAAGTAAATGGTACATTGGATGGTGTACATAGTGTTATGTCTCTCTTTCTGCAATTGGAAACTCTTACCCAGTCTGAACTCCAAGTAGTCCCACTCGCAGGTTTGGTGATGCTCTAGATGGAGCTCATCTATTATAACCACAATGGAAGAATTCATATGATGTGGGTTCTGGATCAGCCATTCACAGTTCAGGTTGTTGCTGTAGTTTCCATTGCCAAAGTCAGGCGAGGTGAAGTTTCCAGGTTGACTGAGTATTCCACCACACACTACCAAAAGGACAAATATTCACCAATCAAATCAGGAGACAAAAATAAGCAAAAAATATACACTAAACTCAGAGGTCTTCTATCTCACCTGCTGCCTCTTCTGAAGAGTAATCTGCCGTGAATCCACCATTAGACACAGATGAATCAGTGCTGAAAATTACAAGCATAGTATTCCCAGAAGATTTCAACTGGGTACCAGCAGGGACTGTCCCACATAACCGACCCAAATGTGGGGCACTGGGTGTCAGACCATTGATAACCTACCAACCCAAGAGTCAAAACAGCAAGCCAGTGATAAAGCACTGAATTTAACAATATTCAGAGAAAGCAATACATAGTTTAAATGCCCAACTTTTTGATATCTCTAAAACATACAGATGACCTTACCTCCACATAGTCAAACATACAGGTGCCATGCTCCTCCAGCCTCAGGTCATTGATCGTAAGAGTGACCCTACGACCGGGAGGAACAGTGATTCTCCAGCGGCATACTCGGCTGTGAGGGTAAAGATTGGGGTAGTTGGGAGATGATATGGTTCCAAATGGTGCGTTCAGATCCCCTCCACATTCTGTAAGAGCAACAATATCATCTTATTATCAGTTACCCAAGGAACTGCTTCATAACCAACAGCATAACTATGTAAGTAATCATGTAGCAAATGTATTATCCAAAATAACTAGTCATGAGCTTTTTGCACTGGACTATATGACCCTAACTGAACACTGTAAAGACACTTGCCTTCAACGCTGGCTTCAAACAATAAACTAAACCCTGCAGCATTCCCGCTGCCATCACTGACAAACTTTACATAGGCAAAACTGTCTCCAGTGTCCAGGGGGGTTGGAACGCTGTTTCCACAGTGTTTCCCCAGCAGGCGACCTGGTAAGTAAGAAAAGGTTAGCTTACTATCCTTAACATTCAGAAAGACTCTCAACTCTCTTTTGTGTAAGGAGGATCCAAACCTGAAGCATTGTATTCACGTATCTCCACATAGTCATTGTTACAATTGGAGGAGCTCTGCAGGTCAAGGGCAGTGTAGGTGAAGGTCAGATAGTGTCCAGTGGGACCTTCCAAGTACCATTCACAGTTAGAGTTGTCTGGATAATTTGAGTCTGGATAACCGGGGCTTCTGATGATACCACTCTGACCAATGTAGGTACCTCCACATGTAGCTAAGAAGGGAAAGGATACTCTTTAAACCATTGAGATCAACCATAGATGGTTGGAATGTCTTGGGGATTCAAAATGGATTACCAATGGAGTACTTGGCTTTGAAACCAATATGTGTGACGCTGCCATCAGTTCTGAATCGTATATACATGGTGGTGCCGGATGAATGCTGTGTGGATGGGCGGGTGTTGCCACAAAGTCTGCCCATCAAAACAGCATCTGATGTGGGACCATCACGGATCTCAAGGTAATCATACATACATCTAGGACAGAAGATTGTGATTACATTTAATGGTCAAACGGTTACATGTACCAAAAATAAGCAATTTGATTCTTCTAAATATACCCAGTATGAGCCTCAATGTAGAACTCATCCTCAAAGTCAAGCTGTACAGCCTCTCCGTTGGGTACAGTGATTATCCATACACAGTCAATATTTTGGGGGTAGTTTGATGGATAGTTAGGAGACGTGATGTATCCTGGTGGATCTCCATCATTAAGCTCAATGAGACCACCACAAGCTGGAGACAAGCACAGAGATTTACTCTTATTATTTTATATTAGTTTTTTTAATAATCAAATTAATCTAACATTTCTGGAATATTAGCTAGAAGTATTCACCTGAACTGTGGGCCTCAAATACCAATTTGAAGCCACTCGCCTCATTAGAGCCATCAGAGACAAAGTGGGCATAGAGGCTATTGTCTGTGGTTTGAAATGTGGATGGAGCACTGGACCCACAGAGGCGTCCTGATAGAGTTGGTGAGTTGCCATCAGGTCCATTACGTAACTAAAACAAAATAATCAAACTATGATGGTCTTTTCCTTCATACGCTAAAGGACAATTTGCATGATGTACAGTCTCTGTTTCTATAGTCACTCACCTCCAAGTAGTCACCTGAGCTGCAGTGATCGCCATAACCCTGTATTTGGAAAGGACTTTGGAAGGTTACAGACACTCTAAACCCTGAGGTGACCATTACTTGCCAGTTGCAATTCATGTTGGGCTTGTAGTTCTGTGGATATTGAGGAGAACTTAGGACCCCTCTGTCTGTATGGAGGAATCCACCACAACCTGATGGAGAAGACAAAAAACTAGCTCAAACTTAGTTCACAACATCATCATGACAAGAATTTGACTCATGGACTTGTTGTTCACCTCTGGAAAAGGTGGCATTAAAGCCCCTGCCATTAATGCTGCCATCAGAAGTGAATCGAAGGAACATGGCATCACCATTAGAGTGCAGAGAGCCAGGCAGCTCCCGCTAGGTAACTAAATAGTGTTATACTGCAACCTAACTTAGGTGGAAAATTCATATGTATTTTGAAATAAATACTAAAATCTAACCTGAGGTTGAGGCCATGTAGGTTGCCCTAAAACCTTTCCTCCCTACTGAAGCATCTGATATGAAGTTTACCACCAGGGCATTGCTGAATGAAGTGACTGGGTGTGGCAACTCATTCCCACAGTAACGACCTGGAAAAAGGTTACTAGTTATTACTAACCATAACTGCATCAGTATTTTCTGAAAAATTAAACAAAATGTGATAAAATGCCAAAACCTAGATCTAATGCCTGATGTATACACGCATATATAGGTGATATCCTATTGTAATCAGAGTATGTCTTTGACGTTTCCTCAAGGAAGAGATTTTATCTTTACCAACAGATGGGGCTTGGTAATTGTCTCCATCCAGGACCTCCACACGATCATGAGAGCAGTTACTATTCACCATCTCAACCTCAAAGTCAGTGAAGGACAAAGTCACATGATTGACTGAAAGAAATATAAGATAGTAGAGATCAGAGAATAAGGCAAGTAGTTTAAAGTACAAAAAGCATTGGTTTTGACTTTGAGATTATGGATGCCAAGTATGACCAGTGGACTTACATGGCTCCTGTGTCTGTATGATCCAACTACAGTTCTGATTGGGTGGGTAAGAATATGGATAACGAGGAGATGCAATCTCACCACCCACATCATCAGCTGCTATAGTGGATCCACATGCTGGAAATCAATGAGTAATCAATGAGGTTTAACAATGAAACCAACCATGACAAATTCACAAAACAAAGACTGCACTCACCTTCTGAGAACTGGGCACTAAAGCCTTTACGGTTCTGACTGTGATCTGACCTGAAGCGAACATAGATGACGTTCCTTGTGGACGTAATGGGAGAAGGTCTGGAGACTCCACAAAATTTACCCAGGAGTGGAGAAGACTCATGGTGACCATCATGGATCTAGAGAGTAGAAGTTTGTCCATAAACTGGTTTAAACTGTGATATCGGTCTGTCATATCATGAAATCACAAATGTTGCCAACGTGAGCATTAAATTCATCATGTGCACACAGAAAGGTCAGCTACTCACAGCCACGTAATCAAAACTGCATGAGCTGTGACTTTCGAGATCCAGATCAGTGAAGTTGAAGAAGACTCGATGGCCTACGTCCACTGTGATGACCCAGGAACAATCCACATTGTCAGGATAGTTGCTGGGATACTGTGGAGAGTGGATCTCTCCATTGGGGGCTGTGACGATCCCTCCACATCCTGCATTTTCAAAGGAAAGATTTTAAGAAGCTGATTAGCAAAGTCTCCAAAATAATGGCATATATAGTGGCATAGTGATGAATTTTCATAATTGACAGTTGACTAACCTCCAGGAACTTCTACCCAGGTTGCGTTGAAGCCTCTGCCACTCAAGACGGCATCAGATGTGAATCGAACGGTGACAGTGTTACCTGTGCTGGCCACCTGCAGAGGGTTACTGGGAGGGCGTGTGGTGCAGAGCTGGGCCAATCGTGGGGAGGAGAGGTCAGGCCCTCCGTACACCTGGATAAAGATCAAAGTTGAAGCGATACTTACAGACTAGCTTTTTTGAAGACCAGGATCATTTCAAAATGTGTCACTATTACATTTAAAAAAAAATCAAACCAAGTGACTTCAAAATGATACTAGCGCTTTTCTTAGACCTAGCTTGACTGTTGATATCATGCCTTTTAACCAACTAGTCCCAAAGATAAATGTAATTCTATTAGTAATGGACATTTTCCACCAAGTTTGACTACCAGAAAGTGTGAAAATATCAAGTTTGATTGAAATTTTGAACAGTAGCATACATCAACTGTTTTACATTGTGAAAGGTTTTGCAAAAAAAGTGTGCTTGTGCTATCTCTCTTTAAGATGAATAACCCTTTCTTTTAATTTATCTCTTATGTGTCCAAATATTGCAAATTTCATTTTGTCTCTGTTGTCTTATTTACTCTACAGTAAGTGATGAGAAAGCAAGCATGGCATGTAATAAACCATCAGTGCTGGGTAGATTACTAACAAATTGTAGTCTGTTACTGATTCCAAATTACATGACAAAAATTGTAGTTAGTAATTTAATCCATTACATTACACATTTTAGGTAATATAATCAGACTACTTTTTGATTACTTTTAACCTAACTCGTTTATCATTTCTACCCGTTTATAAAATATAATAATATTGTACCATACTGTAATCAATCAAATACAAGTAATCAGTAAAAAAGTAACTGTAGTCTGGTTACAAGTATTTTAAAAATGTAATCTAATCTAATCTAATTACAAGTACTGTAGCTACTTAATTTTTGGAATCTAATTACATAATCAAGATTACATGTAATCAGTTACTACCCAGCTCTGTAAACCATAGGCCACTAAAATTAATGCCATTTTAAAACAATATCTGGTTTTGGTCTGGCATCTGTGTGGCACAGAAACTGTGTGTTTGTGTGCATGTGAGACTGTCTCTAAGCCCTCTCACTAAGCTCTGATTTCCAGTTAATTTCTGCCCTGTTGGCTCCATTCAGTGCTACAGTGGAGGTCAGCATTCCACAGGTCTACGCTACAAAACAAACACCCACAGAGCCCAGCAGATGCCAACGGGGCATGAGCAGGCACACACCCATATAAACACACACTTGAATTTTGATCTCATACTGCTTACACCTAACACATAACACTTATTAAAGGTAATAATTAAGAATAGATTTTGAGGAATACTTGCACACTTCTAACTGGGCAGTATGTACTGTATACTATTATTAAAAAAAAAAGCATGAAGTATGTAACAATAAGCTCAGTATACAGATTTAGGAAAAACAATGCTTAATATTGTTTCCAGTTCTTTCATCACACTGGGAATTGAGGGTAGTTGAGTGCACTGCATTGTGGGATACATTATCTCATGAAGTAGGCTCAGGTTGCAGATGTAATAGAGTGTATTCAATGCATACATATATTTTGCTTACTGTTTTTATTTATTCATTTATTCATACCTCCAGCTTGTCATAGTTGCAGTCAGGATGATATTCCACATCAAACTCAAGGATGGTGATGGAAATGCTACTTCCAGGGCTTGTTTGGATGTGCCAGATGCACTCACGGCTTGCTGGGTATTTGTCCGGATAGCCTGGGCTGGTGAAAGCACCGGTGGGCCCGAAGAGTTCCCCACCACAACCTACAGGGGGTAACAGTGAGGTACTTTGACTTTTTCTTCCCCTGTTTTTAATCAGGGATCCACATGAAAGTTCAAAACAGAAATTCTGATTCAAATGTAACAATATTTTGTATGAATATAAGGCGACCAAAAAGCACATTTTGGACATGTATCATGGTACTAATCAAAGTACCATGGTATTATCAATCATCTTATATAACTACATTATATTTTGTAAGTTTGGCATTACGTATATTTATGTAACTTGTTTAATGTCAATTCCTGTAAAGTGTGTCTGTGTAAATGTGGTCAGGGATGCTGAAGTGGGCAGATAGTTGCATTACAGTGTACAGACAGGAAAAATGCTTCACGTCAAGCTTATCAGAGGAAATATGAAGCCATATTGACCCTCACCGCAAGAAAGGCAGTAGCAACAAGACTAAAATGCGGTCAGTGTAATGTGATATTCACGAAAGATCGGTCAGAACGGATTCATTCTCTCCACCCCCACTGTCTTAATCAATAACATCAATCTCAACAGCGTCCACAGGTCTGTGAGAGGACAAAGGAAGGGTGGAGCTACTTTTTAATTTTTAAAATGGATCAACTGGCTTGTAGTCATGAAATGCTTTGTTGAATTGAGGAATTTCTACAGCACCTGCATTATTTATCCGACAGTTTCATGTTTGAACTTTCTCTTATTATAGGGACATTTCTATCTCTTCCATCCTCGTGTCTTTTCTGATTGTTTTTATTCTTTGTTTGTCATTTTTTACAGCTGGAAAACAGTGCTGTGCATGTTACATAATAACATTACAGTGTTCATTCTCTACACATTGTGTCCATGGAAACCAAGACCATTTCCTTCCAAAAAATTACATCATCACAGACAGAGGTGCATGAATAATTAAAGGTTCAGAGCGTACGTCTCTCCCTCTCTTACTGTGATCCTGCTCTCTGTGCAAAAATAACAGTCCACACCATTCAGCAATGTTACTCGATGTCTCACAAGCACAAGGACAGAGAAACATACACACAAAACATCAGTTAGTGTGGGTTATCACACTAATAGATGGCTCACTATCTGACACATTTATGTCTTGGTGTTTCTTCTTTGATATACAAGTAAATGTAATATCTGTAATGAAATTAAATGGATTCTCTGTTTTACTGTGAACAGTTCATTTATGTTAGGTGTGACATAGTAAGAGTTAAACAGGTGTGTCTCTCAAGACAGAGAGCAAGGACAGAGCTTTATTAGTCTGTTCTCTCTAGAGGAGCGTGTAGCCTTGTTTTCCACATAGTCATTCTGGAACAGATTTTTGCTGGAAATAAGCTAATACATGTGCAGAAAATCCACTACAAATCCCAAAATTCTACAGCAACAGCAGTTGCTACATTTAATCTTTCCTTTCTTTCTTTGCTAGATTCATTCATCTCTGGTAATCAGCTCTTTCCCTGCTGGCCAATCAAAGTGAAGCTTTCCTAAGTGATATTACTGCATTGCCCATTAGGATTGCTATTTCTCTTAGAGATTTAGAGACTACAGGTCACTGACTTCTGGCTGCCCAACAGTGACTCTGTATGTTATTTCCTTCTGTTCTGAGTAGCTCATCTGTCTTTCCACTGTTATACACATTTAGATGTTTCACACAATGCTTTGAGGCTGGCACAGGTCCTCAAAAACCTTTCCATGAATGTGGTACTTTCCATGAATACCCAACTTTCCATGAAGTCCCAAGAAGTTTAAGCTCTATTTTTGTACTTTATTCATGGAAAGCATAGGATCAGCTGTGTATTGCTGGATCTTACCATTCTGGTACCAGTCCATCTGAAAGCCTCTGTATGAGACAGACATGTCGGAGCGGAACACAATGTGGAGGCTGGTACCGGTGGTGGTGCTGGCTGGAGGAGGCGTGTTCCCACAGAACGTACCAATCAGAGTAGCCTGATCGTTTGGACCATCATAGAGCTAGACAAGAACAGAAAGTGAGATTAATTATACAATACTTTCTGGTCTTTACAGTAAAAGATAGTTCTGTCATGTTATATAATACATACTATAATAGATCGGTCATGACTTTATTTTAGCTAATTGCCAAGGGAACATTTTCATTTAGTTTAACATGAACCACTAAATAACTAAAACTGAAATAAAAATCAGTAAAAACTATATTATGTAAGTCCGCTTTCACCATGGAATAAATAAAAAAGGTAATTGTGACTTTTTATATCTCGCAATTCTGACTTTATTTCATAGAATTGTGACTTTATTTCTCATTACGACCAACTACGAGTTTATATCCTGCAAATCTGACTTTTTTTCTCACAATTTTGAGTTTATTTTCCAATTCTGAAGAAGGACCTAGTTTAAATTTGGAAATTATCCAAAATCCAGACTATATTTCTGGCATTGGTTGTGACACAAAAATGGACAATTACTTAAAATTGTCCAATTAATACATTTTGTTGAGAAAATGTACACAGCTGTCAAACCATATCAAAACCATTTACATATTGCTAAGTGCAGTGACTGATTGTGTAATGTCATAACCTTAACAAAATAACAAGAAAATAAAACAAATGGCGAAAATTTATTGAATTTGAAAACTGAAGTCAGATTAAAGTGTGAAATATTGTTTCTCCTGCAGTATGCCTCAAGAATCAGTGACCTTTCACAGGAAATACAACCAATGACATCACATCCGTAATTCAGACCATCTGTTCTACTGCCTTAGGAACAAAAGTGTGCTGTAATATTGTTGGCTTGTGCACAAAATCTCACATTCCTTAAGGAAAAGGTCATCAGAGTCCAAAATATCCAACACAACTGTCTATGTATTTACCCAGCTGATGAATGCCTATCTATGGCATGAGGTTTATGAAAACAGAGCATAGCCTTTCTCAAGACTGCCTGAGGGAAAAGACAAAAACTCAACATCTCTACAAAAGGCCCCAATGATGTCATCACTGTTTGGATCGCCATGGTGATGAGTGAACGGAGAGGAACTCAAAGTACCCATTGTACATTTCAAAGACTCTGCCAGTAAATCACTGTAGTGTAACTGAATGACTTGAGCCCTTCACGGAGAAATAATAAGATAATACAAGCTTGAAAAGACATGTAGATGGTCTTCGAGTCAGAAAAACCAACGTTCACAACCCATTTCAACTTCTCAAAGGGACATATTTCTGAGCAAACCAACATATTCGATGAGAAAATGGGCGGGGCTTGAGTCCATCCATCAGGAACTGATTGGATCATGAATAGTGGGCGTTCCATATCAGAATAAAGCCGAACTGAAAGCTAAAGGTCAAGTTCACCATCAAGAGCATCTCAATGCATCCTTTTCTTATTCACATCTATTGTTATGTCTCTAACCTTTTCAAGATTTCAGGCAGGAAGTAGCCTAAAATGATGCCTAAATAGGTAATTATAGGCTTATAGGTAATATAAACATCCTGTATGACCTTCGTGATCTCAACCATTAAAGGAAAGACACTTCAGAGACATGCAAAATATGACCAGAAAGTCTATTAAAGAAAGCAGATATGGTCCATTTTAATTTCATGTAGACTTTCAGCAGCAAAATTGGGTACAGTTTAAGATGAGGCTTGACAAAGCATGTGCTGACCTTCACAAAGTCATAGGCACATCCAACGTGGTGCTCCACCTCAAAGGTTATAAAAGTGTAGTTGATGGTGTTGCCCATGGAGGCCTGGATGGTCCAGCTGCAGTCGGCACGAAATGGGTAATCATTGGGGAAGTTCAAGCTCTCAATCTTTCCCCGGCTCCGGTTGGCGATCAGCACGCCCTGGCAAACTGCAGGAGAAAAGCCAGTCTTGATTAACAACATGAGCTGGGAAGAATTATGTAACATCAAGAACTTTTGGGGAATATTTACACCAATTTTAAGGCAGGAATACATTAAAACTGGTGGCATCTTGCCATAATGGCTAAAGCTGGATTTGACCCTGCAGTAAAGTTTTAGAGTCTGGGAAACACACTGGCATGTGACCACTGACAGCCAAAGAAAAGGCAAAAGACTGAGAGAATGCACAAAAGAAGATAGATAGTGGTGCACTGAGCTCTAAACTGTGACATTTCACCTCCACAAACATAATTAAAACAAGACTAAAAAGCAGAGAGCCAAAACAAGTCAGTGTCCTCTGGGTGAACTCAACTGCCAAATACGTACGATTTAAAACCACAGCATTGCAGTAATGTTTAATTATTCACTTACAAAAAAAGTACCATGTTATTCCCATGATTTTGGGAATACACCATGGTAATACTATGGTATTCTTTTTTTAAGTACCATTGAAATATCATGGAATACACTGCAAATATGGTTGTCTCACTCAGTATTTTTGTCTTCGTTTTTCAGTACAAATTTCTTTCTTATAACTTTCAGATCTTTCAAATAACTTTCATAAATCAAGAGACAAAATGACACAAGATCATTAAAGGTATAGTTCACCCAAAAATGTTTTTAAAAAATGAAAAATGTTTTCTTATGTTGAACATAAAAGAAGATATTTTGAAGAATGCTGGTAATCAAACTGTTGATGGTCCCCATTGACTTCCATAGTATTTCTTATCCCCTACTGTGGAAGTCAATGGGGACCAATAACTGTTTGGTTCTTCAAAATATCTTCTTTTGTGTTCAACATAGAAATGATATGTATACAGCTTTGGAACGACATTTTTGGGTGAACTATTCCTTTATTTATTTATTTAAATCTTTTTAAAAAAATCAAAGTATCAAAATTAAGTGAGTTTTTTCTTAAAAAAGGAAAAGATTCTGACGATGAAAAACAAAAAGTTCAATTAACATGATCTTTTCTTCCTCGTTAGATATTTCTCGTTTTTAGGCATAAACTCAAATTTGATCATTTTTCAGAAAACAAAAATGAAGCCATTTTGCTTCTCAAGCAAATGTATCTTGATTTAAGAATGTTTACTGTACTGTAGAACAAGACAAAAATACTAAGTAACATTTTTTTTGCAGTGTATGAATATGTTCCATAGTAGAAATGTACAAAATTTACATCTGATACTATCTGTATACCATAAAACTACCACAATACTTTTTTGTAAGAGTTTGAATCAAATGTAAATAAAAAAACTATATTTATACTAGTGCTGTCAAACGATTAATCGCGATTAATCACAGCCAAAATAAAAGTTTTTCCTTTACATTATATATGTGTGTGTACTGTGTATATGTATTATGTACTGTATATATAAATACACATACATAGAGTATATTTTTATATTTATATTTGTATAATTTATATTATATATAAATATATAAACGTAACATATATTTCTTAAATATATACATGGATGTGTGTATATTTATATATGCACAATAAATATGCACAGTACGCACACATATATAATGTAAAGAAAAACTTTTATTTTGGAGGCGATTGATCACAATTAATCTTTTGACAGCACGAAATTTATACATCTTTTTCGGGGTTTTCCGGTTTGGTCACTCACTGGTTTGGTAGTTAGCCAGAAATCCGCCTGTGTGGATGATGCTGTCTGTACGTAGCTTCACGTACATGTTGTCTCGGGAGGAGCTGATGGGAGGAGGAATCTGATTTCCACACAGTTTGGCCACCTCAGGAGAACTGGTGCTGTCGCCATCATACACCTGGTAAAACAAATACACATCAGGGAAAGATTCCAACTCAATATCTTTCAGTAGCGAACTCTACAAATGTGTAGTAAATCATCTAATTCGATGCTATCTGACCGCCAAATAGTCGTAGTAGCAGTTGATGCTGTTCTCCAGGTGAAAGTCTCCAAAGCTGAGCTCCACTGTGCTTCCTGCACTGGTTTTGATGTGCCAGTAGCATTCGGCGTTGGCGTGATACGGCAGGGGGTAGTTGGGAGAGGAGAAACCTCCCACACTTGTTGTCAACGTCCCACCGCAACCTATAACAGAGACACATGGTAAGTCTGAGATGGTGTAGTATAGTCCACTGACCTTCTTATGCAAAATGGAATGCAAACTCCAATCAAATTGGCATGAGATTTCTGGGACTCTGGGTTTTAACCGGTCCTCTGGGAAACAATATTGTGTGTATAAGCTAGCAGGTTGATATTAGCGCTCGATATGAGCAATTCTGAGGAATAAATATTTGCTGGTTTGCAAGGTTTGTCCCATTAATTATTGTAAAGACATTTAGATTTTTGTCTGAGGCTCTTAATAGCAACTAATCTACAGCAGACTATCAATACTTCTTGAACAGTGTTGTTCCAACATTTTAAACTATTGTTTTCTTTATAAAAAATAAAGTTGAAATAAAATAAAATGTAAATATTACTAAATAAAAAACAAGAACAAATGTTGCTTTGGCAACTAACTGAAAATAAGTTTAAGCTGAAGCACTAAAATTGCTAAAAAAAAACTATAAATGAAAATAATATAAATATTATTACATTTTAAATAAATCAATCAATAAATGCATACAAACATACATAACAAAATAAATAAAGCCAAACAGAATCATTACAAAAAGTATGAAAATGGAAAAAGCACATGACAAAATTACTAAAACTATTAAAAATAATTTTCTTTGTTGAAATAAATCTGACATAAAAATTAAATATAAATATTAGACTAAAAGCTTTAACTTAAAAACAAACAAAAATTAGAATGTTGCCTTGGCAACTAATTGAAATAAAATAAGTTTAAATTAAAGTACTAAAATTAATAAAAACAATAAAATTATAAATCATATACTGTATAATAAATTATATTATAAAGTATCAAACAAAGTATTAAAGCAAATATTTGAAATGAAGTAATAAAAAGTTAAAAGTAAAATTTAAAAAAATGAAGAAAAAAAGAAAAGATCACTGATTTGGATATAGAAATTATGATCACAAAGTCTACAGTCCAAATTACGTATCTGCCCGAAAACAGCAAAAAAAAATTATTCAAATCGCAGTTGGTCATTTAAATGACAGTCAGACACGTGGGCAGTTCTACTCCTGACTTCATGTCAACAGTCTGGCTGATATTCATCTGATTCAATACACAAGTACACAACAGGAAATGCATACCTGTCTGTGTGCCATCCCAGTGGGCTTTCAATCCCCTGTAGGTGAGTGAGTGGTCAGATCTGAACTTCAGCCACAGTCTGTTGCTATGTGACACTATTATGGGTGGACCATTTGTTCCGCAATATTTACCAATCAGGGGGGATGTTTCATAGCCTCCATCTCTGTAAAAGAAAGGAAAGTGTTTGAAAACCAAAAAGTGACCAAATCAATGACCCAAGATGCTGGAAAAGTTCCTCACCTGATCTCTAAATAGTCAAAACCACAGGAACTGAACCCCTCCAGCTCAAAATCTGTGACATTCAGCATGATCTGCATGTTGACTTCCACTATGATTTTATACACACACTCCCGATTGTTGGGGTAATTGTCAGGGTAGTTGGGTGAGCTGAAGTCCCCGGTGGGTGACCTAAACACCTCACTGCAATCTGCATAGACAAAGCATGAGATATGAGACAACATTTTGTTCCTTTGTATATCTCTACATACAGTGAAATCACAATAAAGCTCACTTGACTTGACCTGAAAAAGGTCAGTCTTTTAAAACCCAAGCTTCACTATGAGGCCTGTACTTTCATGGCTTTTCAAATTAGATTTTCATATCCAATTACTGCAATAAAATTATACCTGTGCTTGCATTGATGGAGACATAATCAGCAGAAAAGCCTTCCGCAGACAGACTGGAGTCAGAGACCAGCAGGATGGTCATCAGACTATCAGTGCTGGTTAGAGATGGAGGAACGGAGCGCCCACAGAACCTGTGCACAAAATAACCAACATTTTCCAACATATTCATTTACAAATCTTCAATTAAGGGACGTCTGTGGCCTAAATCGTCAAACGTCTTGGTTTACCTGCCCATAAGAGTGCCAGTCAGCGCTGTGCCATTATCGTAGACATCCACATAGTCGTATCCGCAGTTGGTGTGATACTCCAGGTTGAAGGTTGTGAATGACAGACGGATGAGGTTGCCAGGCTCAACGGAGATGTACCAGGTACAATTGGCTCCATGAGGGTAGTCAGTGGGATGTCCTGGGCTGGTGAATGAACCTGTTGGTTCTGTAAGAGTCTCTCCACAACCTGCAAAAATGAACTCTGTGCTCTGTGCCATTCAAAGTGTTGAAATCATTTGAACATGCTTTAATCAATGGAGAAAGAGTATGTGCTGCTTATTGTGGGAATCAAACCATGAACCTTACGGTTTCCAGGCCAGCTCTTTAAGCAGTATTTCTCACCATCACTGGTCTACCAATGTCGATTCACCAAATATTAGCATGAGCACAGAAAGCTCAACTCAGTTGATTCCAATAAAGTTTGACATTAGCATGTTGCCAAGCTAACAACTAAATACTCAAACATCATATTAGTCAACTTTTAAATTAGTTTTCATTACCGAATGAAATATATTTATAATACAGTCATCAGCCATCTTGGACTAACGTTTCCACTAATTTACTGCATCTCAAAATAATGGTGGCAAAAATGTTTGTTTTTTATACAAAAAAATAAAAAATATATTTGTGTGTGTACTGTGTATATTTATTATGTCTATATAAATACAGACACATACATGTATATATTTAAGAAAAATATGTTATGTTTATATATTAAATATATTTATCTGTATATAAATATACACATGTAAATATTTTCAAAATATATACTGTATGTGTGTATTTATATACACATAATAAATATACACAGTACACACACATATATTATGTAAACAAAAACTTATTTTCGATGTGATTAATCGTTTGACAGCACTAATATATATATATATATACAGGCAATCTGCATAGACAAAGCATGAGATATGAGACAACATTTTGTTCCTTTGTATATCTCTACATACAGTGAAATCACAATAAAGCTCACTTGACTTGACCTGAAAAAGGTCAGTCTTTTAAAACCCAAGCTTCACTATGAGGCCTGTACTTTCATGGCTTTTCAAATTAGATTTTCATATCCAATTACTGCAATAAAATTATACCTGTGCTTGCATTGATGGAGACATAATCAGCAGAAAAGCCTTCCGCAGACAGACTGGAGTCAGAGACCAGCAGGATGGTCATCAGACTATCAGTGCTGGTTAGAGATGGAGGAACGGAGCGCCCACAGAACCTGTGCACAAAATAACCAACATTTTCCAACATATTCATTTACAAATCTTCAATTAAGGGACGTCTGTGGCCTAAATCGTCAAACGTCTTGGTTTACCTGCCCATAAGAGTGCCAGTCAGCGCTGTGCCATTATCGTAGACATCCACATAGTCGTATCCGCAGTTGGTGTGATACTCCAGGTTGAAGGTTGTGAATGACAGACGGATGAGGTTGCCAGGCTCAACGGAGATGTACCAGGTACAATTGGCTCCATGAGGGTAGTCAGTGGGATGTCCTGGGCTGGTGAATGAACCTGTTGGTTCTGTAAGAGTCTCTCCACAACCTGCAAAAATGAACTCTGTGCTCTGTGCCATTCAAAGTGTTGAAATCATTTGAACATGCTTTAATCAATGGAGAAAGAGTATGTGCTGCTTATTGTGGGAATCAAACCATGAACCTTACGGTTTCCAGGCCAGCTCTTTAAGCAGTATTTCTCACCATCACTGGTCTACCAATGTCGATTCACCAAATATTAGCATGAGCACAGAAAGCTCAACTCAGTTGATTCCAATAAAGTTTGACATTAGCATGTTGCCAAGCTAACAACTAAATACTCAAACATCATATTAGTCAACTTTTAAATTAGTTTTCATTACCGAATGAAATATATTTATAATACAGTCATCAGCCATCTTGGACTAACGTTTCCACTAATTTACTGCATCTCAAAATAATGGTGGCAAAAATGTTTGTTTTTTTATACAAAAAAATAAAAAATATATTTGTGTGTGTACTGTGTATATTTATTATGTCTATATAAATACAGACACATACATGTATATATTTAAGAAAAATATGTTATGTTTATATATTAAATATATTTATCTGTATATAAATATACACATGTAAATATTTTCAAAATATATACTGTATGTGTGTATTTATATACACATAATAAATATACACAGTACACACACATATATTATGTAAACAAAAACTTATTTTCGATGTGATTAATCGTTTGACAGCACTAATATATATATATATATACAGTATATATATTTTTTGTTTATATATAAATAAAATACTGTAAATACTACAATAAAACCTGTTAATTGGTTACTTGTAAGTTACGTTGCCATATACGGTGAAAAACTGTAAAATCATATTATTTGTAATTTTACTGTAAAATACTGTGAAATGTATGGTTTTTGGAGATACCAGCGATGAATTATTAATTATATTTTGTATATTTTGACATTTGGGTATTTAGTGTTATTTAGTTAATGTTATTGCATTGTTATTTACTGCAAATTGAACAGAATATCTTTCATGTTGAGAATGTGCCTGTTTGGTCTTGGTAGGCAGCTCACTAGGCAGTATATATAATATATTTGAACAAGCTACTGTACATTCGAAAACAACAAAACAATAGTTCACCTTGCTCTGCAGATGCAAACTCAGCAGTGAAACCATGGTTGGAGACAGATGAGTCTGTTTTGAAGCGGATGAACATGGACCTCTGGGTGGACTCCAGCATGGGAGGCATGTTAATTCCACAGTATCGACCAATCAGAGGGGAGTCTATGCTGGGACCATCTCTCACCTGAGTAAAGAGTGACGTTTCAGAAGAAATGTAAAGCGTAATCTGTATGTTGGCTGAATAGGATTCGCACAATGCTAATGTTGTACCTCGACATAATCGAAGACGCATGTGCTGCTTCCCTCAACGTCAAAGGTGAGGAAGTTGAGAGTGACCACATATCCCTCGGGCTGGTTAATGACCCACTCGCACACTTTGTTGTGGGGATAGGGGTCAGGGTGCAGGGGAGTGCGAATCTGACCGTTTCCAGAGAGGGTTCCTCCACAAGCTAGAGAAAACAGTTAAATTCTGAGATCACAAACGTTCTATATCATACTAATATTAAATTATGTTCATTAAAGCTTTAACATATTTGCTATCCAATATTGTGTTTAATCTTAGACAGGACACAGGAAGTAAGGTAAACTGTTAGGGGCTGTTCACACAGAATGGGGTTTTGCATTCCACAGTGCTGCTTTATCATGGTTTTGTTTTTATGTAAAAATGTATGGATGTGATTGAGCGTTGCACTCATGTCTCATGTCTTTTGGAGCGTCTCTTGCATGATAGCGTTCTAAAACCACAGCACTCAAAAGTCAAAAGAAGCTGAAGCTTTAAAAACTGCATCTCTAGACCTTGCTTTTTTTTTTCCCCACTGCCCTGCCAAAACACGTTCTATGTGAATGGCCCCTTAGGGAGCGTGTTTTCTTTGCAGCATACATTGTTCCACCAAATGAATCACACATATTCAGAAAAAAACAAAACACTTAAAAATTTAAAATGCAATATAATTAATATTATCCCCCACTGCCCTGCCAAAACACGTTCTATGTGAATGGCCCCTTAGGGAGCGTGTTTTCTTTGCAGCATACATTGTTCCACCAAATGAATCACACATATTCAGAAAAAAACAAAAAACAAAACACTTAAAAATTTAAAATGCAATATAATTAATATTATCAACTATCTCATGTGTTTAAGACAATGCATTTAGGCCCAAAACATCCTCTGCACAAGAATGCTAACGCAAATACTTTAACTTCACATCACTGCATAACAAAATTCATAGTGCAGTGTAAGCACACATCAGTGTTATTATAGTTGACTAAAACTAAAACTGAAAAATTAAAGATTTTTTTGTTACTGGAAATAAAATAAATGTTAACTGAAATAAAATAAATATTGAAAACCTTCTTATTTTAGTTTAACTTGATGCACAAAAATAACAAAAAAAATAAAAATTACTAAAAACATACATCACAATGTGGAAGATCTGTCGCTACTTCCGTGTTAATGTAAAGGGACCACGTCAAAATAAGACCAAATGCTTGTAATGTGCATTTGCATGTTTGCATAGAGTATGTTTCTGGCCTTGTTTTTACTGTTTTACATGTCAGTGCTTTTTGGCATTCAGTTTGCGTCATACGCTTTACATAAAAAGGAGGTTTCAGTGTCTCACCAAGTTCATACATGGCCCTGAAGCCAGCACGGGACACAGAGCTGTCAGACTTAAAACGGATCCAGAGTCCATTAGTGGTGGACAATATTGGTGCTGGCAGGGTGGAGCCACAGTACTTCCCAATGAGTGGGTCGGTCTCACCCGTCCCGTCTCGAACCTAAAAGAGATTTGACTTGGTAATGCCACTGAAATGGCGATGTTAAAAGATCAAAATGCTATTTACTTCTCCTCTCATCAACATTAATTACACAAATCATACCTCAACAAAATCAAAAAGACAGCCACTATGAGTTTCCAGGTCCATGTGGGTGAAGTTAAGTGCCACTTGTTCACTACGTGGCATTCTGATGATATAAATGCACTGCCTATTGTGAGCATAGTTATTAGGCCAGTTAGGAGAGATGATGATGCCTTCTGTGTCTGTAAAGACGCCTCCGCAGCCCGGGTCAGCTGATGGCACAGAGTAAATTGCATTACACTCAAGCAATTCATCCCAATATAGCAGGACACCTGGCTTTGCCCATTTGAACCCAGTGTTGATCCAAGCATCATGTTCCTGAGTTTACAACATTTGCAATGTGACTGCTCACTGTTAATATGTATATAACTCCAATAAACTGTTTCATGAGCATTTGAAAGGACAGTATTCCACTGATGGATCTGTTAAAATGATCCATAATGTAGTTACTGGAATTACTGCTAATGCATTATGACTGCAAACAAGAAAATAGTGCTGTAACATTTAATTGTGTTCAGGAAACTGTTCACAAATGATCAAAAGTGACAGTAAAGTATTTATAAAAGATTTCTATTTCAAACAAATGCTGCTCCTTTGAACTTTCTATTAATGAAAGAATCCTAAAAAAAATTTATTACCGTTTCCACAAAAATATTAAGCAGCACAGTTGTTTTCAACATTAATAATAATAAGAAATGAGCCTTGAGCAGCAAATCAGCATATTAGACTGATTTCTGAAGGATCGTGTTACACTGAAGACTGGAGTAATGGAGTAATGCTGTAAAATTCAACTTCACCACCGCAAGAATAAATTGTATTTTAAAACATATTAAAAGTTATTTTAAAGTGTAATAATATTGCACAATATTACTGTTTTGATTGCATTTTTGATCAAATAAATGCAGCGAAAAACATCAATTCAGAAACATTAATTTGCCCATTAATGTAAAAAAAAAGAAAATCCAATCCAAACTTTCGAACGGTAGTGTACAGGTCTATTATACTCCCTAAAATGTCCCATAATCCCCCTCTCTCTCTGTGTTTTGACAGCATGGGCTTTACTTACATGGTGAAGTAGTGTATGTAATGTGAAATCCCCGATCGCTGATGCTGAAATCAGAGTGAAAGCGGATCCAGGCTGATGGTCCTGTCGTCTGTAGAGGTGGTGGTGATGCTGTACTGCAGTATTTTCCCAAAACCGGGTCTTCTGGGAGCAGTCCGTCTCTGATCTACAAAATAAATCCGAAAACTCAAGCATTTTAACACATACACACAGAAAACACCTTTAAAATGAATCCAAGATGTAACAAGCTTTACCTCCAGGTAGTCAAAATTACAGTTATCATGGTGCTCCAGACTGAGGGTGCCAAAAGCGAATGTGATGAGCAGACCAGGGTTCACATTCACCATCCAATAGCAGTCCCGGTTAGGTGGATAGTTACCTGGGTACCCGGGTGACTTGATGTCACCGTATGTGTTGGTCAACTCCCCACCACACACTGGAAAAGAAAGGAGTATTGAAATAAGATACAAATTCAAATAGTTGCTAATATCACAAGAGAGGCAATCATTTGGACCATTTTTTGGCATGCATTTTTGCAGAAATTGGTCATTTCAATAGGAACTGGAAATTTTCAGGTGAGGGTCAAAGATTTCCCAATGCAGTTTTCGCAATGGGTTCAAGCTGATCATGCTGATTCGCCACATTGACCAACAGAAAGCTGCTTGGTTTGAAAGTGACTTCTGTTTGAGCTGTGCTTCATACATCGCGACACTATTGACAATAAACAATTGGATCTGAGACATTTCACTAATGTGATCTTAATATAAGGGCATTCTTGGTTCACCTGGTGCCTGCGATTGCCAGGCCACTGTGAAGCCACGACCACTGACTGAATGGTCAGAGCGGAACCAGAAGTACAGAGAATTGTGGGAGCTGAAGAGTTCGGCTGGGGCGGCAGTGCCGCAGTATTTCCCGATCATGAAAGCTGAGGCGCTCTCGCCATCATGGACCTGCAGGAAATCGAAGTTGCAGGAGGCGCTGTTCTCGATGTCAAAGAAAGGGAAGGTAATCCGCAGAATCTGGGAAAAACAACAGATTACTGACCACAAGAAAGAACAAAACCCAAAGTTTAATTCTATAAATTACATCTATGAAATCTAGAGAAAAAAGAAATTCTGCTGATTTGCAAAAAAAAAGGCCTAATATTACATAATCTGATGACGGTGAGTTGAAAAATATCAGTAAAAACGTAAACATTTTTCACAAAGTAAGCATTAAGGTTTTTCAAATTCTATACATTTATCAGTCAAATGTCAAAATGTATCATTTAAATTACAATCTGCAAAGAAAAAAAATTTGCTTTTGCTATATGCATGTTTGGTTTACATTTTTTTTTCTGATAATGTTTAGGTAAAAAATTAATTCAATAATTTTAAACTTTCCATTATGTACAGTTTTTTTCCCAAAATAAGAATTTTAAAAATTATATATGTATCAGTCAAAGGTGAAGTATTCAAAATGTATAATTTAACTTACAATCTGCAAAGAAAAAAATAACAGTATATAAAAAATATGAACAACTCGTGTTTTTTAAGGAAAATCTTAAAAGAATATGATTATTTAAAATAATACAATCAAAATAGATAACTTAATATTACACGTATATCAATAATTTTTCAAAGAAAATAATAGTTTTCATATGTTGCTTTTGCTATATGCATGTCTGGTTAACATTTTTTAAGTGTTAGTTTTGTATTTTATGATACAATTCTGTACTTGTTGAAAATAGAAAAAAAAGCTAAGTTAAATGGGCAAAAAAAAGACTATTTGGTTTAAATTTTATTTTTCATCATCGTTTAGGTAAAAAATTTATTCAATCATTTAAAACTTTCCATTATGTACAGTTTTTTTCACAAAATAAGAATCTTTCAAATTACATATGTATCAGTCAAATGTCAAAAAAAAGTTCAAAATGTATCATTTAACTTCAATCGGCAAAGGAGTGGAAAAACTTGTTCCAATACTCTAAGAACATTACATTATAAGTTATTATAAGAACATTATAAGTTTATAAACATAAGCTTTTTTCACAAAATCTTAAATTTTCTGTCACTGTTTGGATGTAGTAAAACACCCACAGATGTAGCAGAAAACATCTGGGTCATGTATGCATTTTCTTCTGTCACTGGTCATAAAATAATGTCTTCATTGATCAGCTGAGAACTGAACAAATAGTAGTAAGCTGGCTAGCTTACAACTGTTTGTCAGAGCAAGAAACAAACCATGTCTTTGTGGCAGTTTTTCTGTAACTAAGGGGTAATACAAGACTTCTTCACCATACAAATGGTTGTTGAAAGCAAAAATTCTATGAAATGCACATCAAAACAGGCACTATTTTTGAATCAGCACCCCAACATTAGCACGAAACAAGTATCGGATTTCATTCAGCATGGACTGGATTTTTAAAAAGGTCACTTATGTATCTTTACTAACCTTGCTGGGGTCGGTTCTGATGACCCACGCACAGCTGACCTGGTGATCATAATCACCCGTTCCAGGATTCATAGGGTAGCTGAATGTGCCGGCTGGACTTTCCAAAACTCCTCCACACTCTGATGCACATAAAAGTTCATGATGTTACTGTAGAGATAAACACACACTATCACATGCATCACTTCTCTAATAACACACACCTTGCTGTGGAGTTTGGCACTGCGGGCCCGTCCACTGGGAGGTGCAGGTGCAGGTGTAGCCGTTGATGCCGTCGATGCAGGTGCCTCCGTTCTGGCAGGGATTGCTAGAGCACTCGTTCACGTTCTGATCGCAATTCTGCCCTGCCCAGCCCGGGTCACAGCGACAGATGTAGCCAGTTGCTGTATTCTAGGAACAAAACATGCTGACTGCTGTGGTTTCATGGAAACAGAACAGAGAGGGGAAGTTATAAGAGATAAACACTTACCTCACACTGACCATTTACACAAGGATTACTAGTTCCACAGATGTCACTGATCTGAGTACAGCCCGTAGGTCCATAGCCATTACCCACATAACCAGGAGGACAGGTGCATGATGGGATAATACTTCCTAGAAGGAGAGCAATTCATAATGTAATTCAGAGATGATGATTCTTCTACTCAGTTTTATTTTTCATCAATATGCAGATTTGCCAATGATAGCGAAGATGAGACAAAAAACACACATCCTGGCAATAATTTCATGATTTTAAATCAAACATACTGCTGAGGGAAACAAAAACGTTTTATTAGAAACATATTAACAACGCACCAATGTTTTTGAAGAAAAATCTAGAAAGAATATGATTTTAAGACTATAGTCAAAGATACACAACATAATATTACAGATATGAATAACTACTAAAAATCACAGCATTTTATTAAAAAAGTGTTCAGGAAAAAATATAGTTTTTACATGTTGCTTTTGCATATATATATATATATATATATATATATATATATATATATATATATACATTTGTTTTATTATTATTTTTTTATTAAAACAAAGATAAATTAAAAAAATGGTTTATTGTTCATTATCAAAATTGTATTTATTAAACAAGCAAATTAAATGAGCATTTTAGTCTGAGTAAAACTGACTGGAATTAATGAATATGACAAAATATTGACAAAATATATAAACTGTATATAAACAGCATATTATGCACATTAGCAAGACACTAATGTTTAAAAAAAACTAGAAAGAATATGATTATGAAGAAAATAATTAAAGATACACAACATAAACCTAAAATTACATATGAATAACAATTAAAATCCACAGGATTTATTTAAAAAAAAAAAGTAGTTTATATAGTTATAAAATATAGTTTATAGGTTTTATTTTCATGTGCTAGTTTTGTATTTTATGTTATGTTATATCTTTACTTGTTCAAAATGTAAAATGATAAAGTTGATTTAAAAATAAAATTGGTTTGATTTTGCCATTTTTGGTCAACAAAGATGTTATTATCTAGAATTAGATGCTTTTAGTCGCAATAAAATTACTGAAATTAATGACCAAATATTGATCAAATTATAAGAATATTTCCATCAAAAGACATACACTATGACTAAAACAAACAAACCTGTAAAAATGGACACATATAGCAACAATATCTTTTATATCAGGAGGTTACACAACAATTAAAGTTTAACACCCTTTTTATTGATCCTGTTATAACATAAATGCTACTAGTCATGCGCTGCTGTAAAGAATAACTACAGTAAAAGTGTGCAGTGATTGTGTGTGTGTGTGTGTGTGTGCGTGTGTGTGTGTGTGTGTACCTGGAGTAGAAGTACAGGTAGCCAGTGGATAACATCCTCCATTGTTGGCGGAGCAGATGTCAGCTTGAGTGCAAGTCTTCCCGTCTCCCTCATAGCCTGAGGACACACACATGGGGTCAGCAGTCTCATCTTACACTTAATGGCTATTTTAGCCCAATCATTTCAGTGCGTCTGGTCTTCCTCTGCAATCTAGCAGTCAACTGAGACTTGTAAAGCTGAATATATTAGCAGGACCTGCAGACAGCACTGTCCTCAATGAACCCAGCTAATGGATCTCTCCACCTCTCCTAGCTTTCTATCTCCATCTCTCCCAGAGGGAATATAATGAAATTCAGATCACACAAGCATCTGTCTCTCGTTTGAAACATATTACAGTGAGTAAAATCCATGATTCAGCAGGATTTTACAGGCCAGCCTGTGCTGAAAGCAGGACAGAGGACCAGCAAACATGTGAGATGTACTAAAATATGCATGTTTCAATTTCCTAGCAATCTCTAGAGGGAAATTATGAACTAGAAATGATTCTGATTCTGAATATTAAGATATTGAATGAATAGTTCACCCAAAACAAGTGACATTTCAGAATGTTTCTCACACAAAGCTATTGTATGGCTTGGAATATAGTGAACATGTCCATTGGACTAATTTTATGGTGCTTTTTGGAGATTGACCTTTCTATTATATGAAATGGCACAACTATTTTCAGCATTGATAATAATAAATATTTCTTGATCAGCGAATCAAAATATTAGAATGATCTCTGAAGGATCAAATTCCTTTGCATCACAGGAATATATTACATTTTAAAATAAATTACAACATAAAAGAGTTATAAAACAATTATAATAATATTTCATAATATTACTGTCTTTTGGCAGCCTTGGTAAAGCTCCAGACTTTAATAAGAGACTTTAGAAACATTAAAAAAAATTTACCAACCCCAAAATGTTGTACAGCACTGCACAAATTCAAATTTTTGGGTGAACTATTCTTGTTAAGACAACAGGTCTTATTTTAAATTGCATGAGAATCAGGATGTGAGCTAAACCTGGAGGACACTGGCCGCAGTGGAAGGAGCCCATGGTGTTGAGACAAGGCACCATGGGGGAAGTAGAACAGCCTCCATTGTTTGTGGCACATTCATCGACATCCTGGCAGCTGTAACCGTTACCCTGCCATCCTGGAGGAACCAAAAGTTAAGATTAATTTCATGAAATAATGTTCTTATTAAGAATCTGTTAGGCTATTAAATGCCTTTAACGTAAATGCACCCAATAATCTTTTACATAAACTATCTAAGAAAAGATAAATGATTGATATATGGATATCTTGGCAATAATCATATGTGACATGGCTCAGCTGGGCTGAGTGGTCTGACCTGCAGGGCAGGCGCCACAGTAGAACGAGCCCAGAGTGTTGAAGCACTGCACAGGGGGGTTTGTGGAGCAGGGTTTGTTCGGGAGGCCGCACTCATCAACATCAGCCGTGCACGCCGACTCTCCGGGTGGAGACATCCAGCCAGCATCACAGATACACTTATATTTGGGCTGAAAAGAGACATTAAAGAGATGCATGTTGTTCCAAAGCTGTATGACTTTATTTGTTACGTAGAACACAAAAGAAGACATTAAGCAGAATGTTCATGCTGCTCTTTCCACAATAATATTAAGCAGCACAAGACACTGATAATAAGAAATTTTTCTTGATCAGAAAATCAGCTGATTTCTGAAGGATCGTGTGGCACTGAAAACTGGAGTAATGATGATGAAAATTCAGCTATGTATCATAAGAATAAATTACATTTTAGAATATATTAAAATTGAAAACAGTTACTTTAAATTGTAATACTATTTTACAATATTATTGTTTTCAATGTATTTTGGATCCAATAAATGCAGCCTTGGTGAGCAGGAGAGACCCCAAACTAATATTAGGTCATATGATTCAACACTCGTGAAGAATAGACTGAAATGTTAGTCTTTTCCTCCAATTAAAACTATTATAGTCAAATGCACTAGTTTTTAATGGTGCTCTTTGTCATTTTTGGAAATTTTACATAAAAGGGTAATGTCCCATTCATCTGCTTTTATCGTTAACAGATCATGATAAAATCACATGGAATTATAAGGGGGGTGTCAATGCCTTACATTTTGGCATATTAACCACACAAAGCTATTTTATGACTTTAGAAGAGATGGAATATAGTTGTATGAACCACTTTAATTATACTTTTATGACAATATCGCATTTATTGTGAAGCTTAAAGGTCCTTATTAGGATGAGTAAAATCCTCAAAAATTTCTTGTTTTTTTGTTCTATGGAAAAAGAAACTCTTAACAGGTATGACATGAGGGTACAGTGCATAATGACAGAATATTCTTTTTGGGGTGAACTACAGTTTTTCACTGTCCAAACATTGACTGATGAGTACTTTATTTGTACATCCAAATGCATGTGGAAAACTGAGATTAAATACACATAATCACCTCATTGGGATTGACTCTGTCTGAATCGATGCACAAGCCGTGAACACACAGATCCTGACTTCCGCCTGCACAGTCATCATAGCGAGATGTACAGTGTGGACCGTACCATTCTGCAGTACAGGTACAGCTGATAAACAAAAGAAAAGTAAAATATGAACATAAAAATCTCACTAAAAACCCCACTCAAGAGAAATAACGGAGGATTACGTGAAAGATCCGGGTGTGTTCACACACGTGGCCCCGTTCTGACAGCCCACCGGAGTTCCTGCTAACACCTGACACTCATTCACATCCACTGCACATGTGGGACCCTGTAAAGAGATTGAACCAAGTGGCAATCAGAATGACATATGAACAGGACAGAAGGACAGAAGGATGTCTGAATGACTGACCTGCCAGTTGTCAGGACAGAGGCAATGAAATGCATCTAACAAGTTCAAGCAGGTTCCTGCGTTCTGACATGGATTGCTGCTGCACGTCTTCCGCTGAACTGTCTATGAAATACAGAATGCCATAAAACTGAGTTTAAATCATAACGGCTGAAATGGAAGGCCTTTAATCATATGAGCAATAATCCTCAAGTGAAATGAATGATTACAGCGATACCTGTTCTATTGTCTGAACTTTTGTCTCAAGCGTCGTCACTCTGGTGTTGAGCTGATTGAGCTGGTTTGTAATATCCGGAGAAGGGCCACTGTTCTTTATGGTATCGATGTCGTCTTTGTTAATTTTGATCTGGAACAGAGTTGATTAAAACTTGATTAAGTTTTTTTTTTTTTTACTTTACCCAGATACAAAGTGCTACAGTAACACAGACAAAATGCTTGATCTGTGCTGACTAGAATAAAGAAAATTGAATGTAAATGGAATAAAACCAAATTAAATGCAATTACGGAACGAAATTAAATTAAACAAAATGCACACAAAAAGAAAAAAAAAAGTCAAAATTAAACAACAAAATTAAACCTAAACAAAATGCATACAAAAAAGACAATAAAACAAAAAAAGTAAACATAAACAAAAAACAATAAAACAAAATTAAATAAAAAGAACACAATTTAGCAAATTGCAAAGTGCTTCAATGACAGACAAAATGCTTGCTCTGAGCTGACTAGAATAAAGAAAATGAGATGTAAATGAAATAAATCAAAATTAAACAATTATGGAATGAAATGAAATGAAATTAAATGAAAGAAAATGCACACAAAAAGAAACAAAACTAAATAATACAAGTCAAAATAAAACAACAAAACAAAAAACATCAAATCAAACCTAAACAAAATGCACACAAAAAGACAATGAAACAAAGTAAAAATAAACAAAAAGCAATAACACAAAATAAAATAAAAAACACAACCAAAGAACTCAATAAACAGACAAAATGCTTGCTCTGAGCTGACTAGAATAAAGAAAATGAGATGTAAATGAAATAAATCAAAATTAAACAATTATGGAATGAAATGAAATGAAAGAAAATGCACACAAAAAGAAACAAAACTAAATAATACAAGTCAAAATAAAACAACAAAACAAAAAACATCAAATCAAACCTAAACAAAATGCACACAAAAAGACAATGAAACAAAGTAAAAATAAACAAAAAGCAATAACACAAAATAAAATAAAAAACACAACCAAAGAACTCAATAAAATAAAATAAAATAAAAAACAAAATCAACAAAACAAAACAAAAAATAAAATAAAATGATAAACCCTACAGACATTTTGGAATTTTTATTTTTAATCAAATCCTTAAAAATAATTTTTTTTGAATAAAAATAAAAATTCCAAAATGTCTGTAGGGTTTATCATTTTATTTTATTGAGCTCTTTGGTTGTGTTTTTTATTTTATTTTGTGTTATTGCTTTTTGTTTATTTTTACTCTGTTTCATTGTCTTTTTGTGTGCATTTTGTTTAGGTTTGATTTGATGTTTTTTGTTTTGTTGTTTTATTTTGACTTGTATTATTTTGTTTTGTCATCTCACCTCATCAAATTCTCATTTTCTGAGAATAACATAAGCCTTAAGTCTTGCAATTATTAGCTCGTCTAATATGAGCCATATTTTTACTCAGAAATCTGATGCTTCAGTCAAACTCATCATTCTTTGGTTGTGTTTTTTATTTTATTTTGTGTTATTTTTACTGTTTCATTGTCTTTTTGTGTGCATGTTGTTTAGGTTTGATTTGATGGTTTTTGTTTTGTTGTTTTATTTTGACTTGTATTATTTTGTTTTGTCATCTCACCTCATCAAATTCTCATTTTCTGAGAATAACATAAGCCTTAAGCCTTGCAATTATTAGCTCGTCTAATATGAGCCATATTTTTACTCAGAAATCTGATGCTTCAGTCAAACTCATCATGAACTCACCTGATTTATCTGGTGGATGAGATCCTCAGCCCCCACCTTCACACTTCCTGTCCCTGAGGTTGTGAAGCGAATGTCTTTGTTGTAGCCAGCAGAGAATGTGAGGTGACCATTTTCTGATATCATACGAGGCCTGCAAATCAATTACCAGGTAGGACACTTTTAATTTCTAACTTGCAGCAGAATTAAAAACCTTTATTGTTTAAAAACAATCGATAATGTTCAATAACATCATCCGTTTCATGACCATCTTCACATTGAAGCACAAAATATTCACAAAATTATACAGAGTTGCAGCAGGGAAAACTCAAAACAAACCCCATCCAAGCGTTTGAAACTATGAGAACTGATCTATTCAAATTGCAGGTGGTCTCAAACACGGCAACGTACCAATCTTTCAAGCAAACATAAAATAATTAATTTAAAATACATACTGGTCAGTGCTGATGTCCCTTTTTTGCCTGTTGTTAGATTTACCACCATGGTCACACTCCAATCCAGAGAGGAAGAGCAGAAAGACTAAGAGCCAGGAGAAGCTCAGTGTCCGAGCCATGCTGAGAGAACTCGTCCCAGGATGCTCATCAGACACTGTACTGTACCTTCACAACTAAACCTGCCTAAAACACAAGCAGCCAGAGATGCACTTTGGACCCAAGGAGTCTTAACGCCACTACATTTCCTAAAATCACTCATAAAGAACACGTAACTGTCTAGAGGGCATTTAACTCAGCTGCATGCCAGCGATTTGACTTTATTGGTCAAGTGTCAGTGGCTGTCACATGTTTTTGGAGATCAGTAACCAAAGTTAAGACTGAAACTGCTGCTTAGGGCTCATTCTCTGAATATGAACAGCTTCACAGTAAATGACCCATTAAAGCTAATATAATCAGCTATTTAAAACACATTTTAATTAGTGCTGTCAAATGATTAATCGCGATTAATCACATCCAAGATAAACGTTTTTGTTTACATAATATATGTATGTGTACTGTGCTTATTTATTATGTATATATATATATATATAAATACACACATTCATTATATATTTTGAAAATATTTACATGTATATACATTTATATTATTATATTATATATAAATATGCTTAATATATAAACATAACATATTTTTCTTAAATATATACATGCATTTGTTTGTATTTATATATACATAATAAATATACACAGTACACACTCATATATTATGTAAACAAAAACTTTTATTTTGCAAGCGATTAATCGCGATTAATCGTTTGACGACACTAATTTTAATCTATACTTCCACTGATCTTTTGTTTTTGTGTAATCAAATGAAGGAAAATATGTAATTTCACACACTTTGGCGATCTCTCTGGGTGTGAAGTATCTCAGCTTTAACTGAAGAAGCTGCTTTAGTTTGTCTTCTTCAGAAAGCAGCTCCAGGTTCTTAAACACGGTCTCTAGCTCCACATCCACACAGGACTGCAGGACAGAGCCCGTGCCCTCCACATAGTGACCATAACTACACAAAAACAATCAACGGTTATAACCAACAAGGATATTAGCTGTGGAATCATTTTAAATATGGTCAGACATGTTAAATAGTACACTCCTATTGGTGGCTGAAAACGTTAGTAAATTTAGTACATAATAAATACATTTAAAAATGTTCCTCCAAACTCAAATTTGGAAATCAATATCAGAGAATTAATGTTTAAGTAACTTAAAAAGAGCACAGACTGATCAGTCGGACCTTGGCAGAAGCTCCAGGATATAGAGGAAGCTCTTTGTTCTGGGGTCGGCAACATCTCCCTGCAAACCAATCCTGTTGAGAAACACACATTAGCTTTAGTCAACCAATTTAGCAGCCTTTTCCATGCTACCAAAGTTTGGGGTTGGTAGGATTTTTAAATGTTTTTGAGAGAAGTCTATTATGCATTTATTTGGTCAGTTAAAACGGTATGTGCTATTATTATCAATGTTCAATGTTGTGCTGCTTAATATTTTTGTAGAAACTGTCATTTTCAGGTGTTCAAGATTATTTGAAATATACTGTAATGCTTTCATAACATTAGAAATGTCTTTATTGTTACTTTTGATCAATATAACGCATCATTGATGAATAAATTCCTTTCTTTCAAAAATAATACAAAAAAAACCTCATATAAAAACATTTTACTAAAAGAAAGTCATACAATTTGAAACATGCAGGCAAAAAATATATATATATAGTTTTGTGTGAACTTCTTCTTCAATGAACAAGAAAAACATGCTGATCACCTGGTGAACGGCTGACATGGTGGGCTCATCAAAATCACGTCAAAGTTCAGTTTGTCAAAATCCTGTAACGTCATTCCCTGATACACAAAGCCAAAAGAACTATTATTAAACAACTATACTTAAAAAACAAAGAAATAAATAATTAAATAAATGACTGCTCTTCAAAAAAAAAAAAAAAAAACTCACACTTAGAACAATTTAATGTTATAAAGCAAAAATATTACGTTATTTACAGGTGCATCTCAATAAATTAGAATGTTGTGGAAAAGTTCATTTATTTCAGTAATTCAACTCAAATTGTGAAACTCGTGTATTTTGTCATCTTATGAAGTATTGGTGGGTTTTTGTTAAATGTGAGCCAAAATCATCACAATTAAAAGAACCAAAGACTTAAACTACTTCAGTCTGTGTGCATTGAATTTATTTAATACACGAGTTTCACAATTTGAGCTGAATTACTGAAATAAATGAACTTTTTCACGACATTCTAATTTATTGAGATGCACCTGTAATCTTGCATAAGTCTTGATCTGTAAACATTCTTATACACTCAAAAAATAAATTTACAAAGACAGATTTACGCCACAATAATGTCATTTAAATATCGAATCCATCTTCATTATCACTCTTTAAACCTCCATCCATTCTTTCAAGCATTGTTTTATATTCTTACGAACTGAGGTCAGTGGCAGGTACATCATTACCATGCTGACGAAGCACAGAATCTTTAACCACCACAAAAACCACTCAGTTACACTTTTACCTCCTATTGCTTTTAAAAGCGCAGTCATGGGACTATGTGCTGATAGAATTAACCAAGAAACATCATTTTAAGGATGTTACAAAAGAGACATGTTGTTACGAATGCAATAAATCAGTTCAATAAGACAGATTTTGCTTACACGAGCTGTTTGAGTTGCAGAAAGGTCAAAAATCTGACATAACTCCAGGCAAAAAATGCAAAAAAAGTCAGTCATAATTATCTTACTTGTTAGATTATGTATATTATTGTCTGTATACATTTGCAAAATGGGAGCCGCTTATGCATTCAAACAAAATGTGTTCAATCATTTTCATAACCAACTGAGATTCATGAGGGCAAGCACTGACCTCGATAGTTTTTGGCAGGAGTGGGGTATTGGGGAAGTTGTGTTTGTAGATTTCATTGGCTGTTGTGTTGACATCCACAGCAGCAACAACTTCAGCAGGAACTGAGCTCTCTGCAAGAAACGCACACATTTCTACTATTGAGAAATTAGCTAGTCTTCACAACACAACTCTAAAGAAACACATGAACTTTTCTTCAGTCTGTGAATGTCACATTTTATTTATGAATTAAACGCACTGCAAATGTACAGTAAGGGAAGAGTGACACCTGTGGGGATCATACAACAGAGACTCATAAACACCACCAGCGTGTCAATCATTTTCTAGAGCCTCAGAGACACAGAGCCTCTGCAACTGATCCTGTGTCAGTCATGTTATCAATAATCGCTACCAATTTAGACCAAATGACGTACCCTTTAAAGCATAATGCATCCCTCCTATTCCGCTGTATAACTCCAGAACACGGACTGGCTCCACGTTCTCCATCTTTTACTGCTGAATAATGTTTATGATATTTTGACAGCGTCTCAAGCATGCCACATGTGTGCGCTCCCAAACATGATCCTCTAGAAACAAGTGCATTGACGAAACGTTCCGCTTTAGTTTTCTTTCTCTTATTTTATTCTTATTCTTCATAAATAAATAAAATAAAATAAAATACAATAATAATAATAATTATTATTATAACCTATTAAAATGTCATTTGCATTTAAAATAGTAACAGTAGAGGACATTACATATAAAATTATGTTTGTTTGCATGTTATCTTGTAAGTAGGGTTTACTTAACTAAAAATATTCAAATATTGTTTAATACATTTTTTATTATTTTGTAAAATATATATATATATGTTATTAAAGTATTTGTTAACTTAAAGAGCTATTTCTACCTGATCTAATCCCTACATTTTTTTGTTGCTGAAAATTAATGCAATAAATTACATTATTAATAAATGTAATTAGTTTGATATATATATATTATATAAATATTTTTATATTTTATATATGTATGTGTGTGTGTTTGTGTGATTTTTTAGATGACAGACAGACAGACAGACAGACAGACAGACAGACAGACAGATAGATAGATAGATAGATGAAAACTACGAAAATAAATAAATAACAAATATTTATATAATAGCCTACAAAACATCTAAAAATATTAGCTAATACATTTTGCATTTACCGGTAAATGAATGAATGGATAAATAAACTGAATATTTATCGTTTGTTATGTATATCATACAATTTAAATACAATGCAAATACAGCTAATATTACACATTATACGAAACTACATTTATTAAACGGAAAAACAAAGGATACAAAAGTGAATATAGGCTACTCTCCTGGTGTTGCCAGAGTCAAACTCTTTCATTGGTAGTTCTGGAGAGGCACATTCTACTCCTCCGCCCCGACGGCGCTTCTGCGTCACTGAAGCTCCCTGCACCGTTATGTCATTAGCATAGGGAGTGGACTATAAATACAAGCAGAACCTCTGCAGTGGTCTCGGTTGGTCTGGACAGGGTGCGGTAGTTCGTGAAAGTAGACGCTGACTTCAACAATACCCCAGAACTAAAGGATTACAATGGCCAGCAGACCAAACACATCTTCTTACAAAAGGATGTTCGGTGGAGAGCGACCAGCGATGCTTCGGTCCACTTACTCCAGCCGGCAGTACAGCAGCCCGGTGCGCACAAGCTCGCGGGTGTCCTACAGCAGCGCGTCCTCCGCGTCTCCATCCATCTACATGAGCAAGAGCGCGAGGGTGCGCACCAGCGCGCCGCTGCCCAGATTCGCCACAGATACGCTGGACTTCGGGCTCGCCGAAGCCATCAACACCGAGTTTAAAGCCAACCGAACCAATGAGAAAGCGGAGTTGCAGCATCTCAACGACAGGTTTGCCAGTTTCATAGAGAAAGTGAGATTTCTGGAGCAGCAGAATAAGATCTTGATCGCGGAGCTGGAGCAGATGCGGGGCAAAGGCTCGTCCCGGGTCGGTGATCTGTACGAAGATGAGATGAGAGAACTCCGGAGACAAGTGGACCAGCTCACCAACGAGAAGGCCACGGTGGAGGTGGACCGGGACAATCTGGGAGAGGACATCGAGCGCCTCAAAGAGAAGTATGGTCAAACATTGTCCAAGAGGCTGTGCAAACAAACCAAAACGTTATAAGTGTAAAATAACATTAAATATCTGCCAAGTGCATGAGTTTATAAAAAATACTTTTTTTGCAAACAAGGGTTTAAAATCATATTATTGCCATTTCGTATTTCATATCACCAACAGAACTGTATAGCTAATAAGAAAAATGCATTCATAAATGCATTTTAACGGTGCATTAATACAACAAAACAATGTATAAGTTGAAGATTTAGAACTATAAATTCTCTCTAAAATCCCATATATATATATATATATATATACATATATATATATATATATGCACACATACATGTATAGGCCTATTTATATACATTGTTTTGAGTTTAAATTTTCATTTACTGATAATTACATTAAGAAGCTGGTTCTACCTGCCTTGATCCTTAAAATGATTTTTATTAGTGTAACCTAAGATAGGTTGATTTAGTCATATTAGTATATTTAATAATATTTCTGAAATACATAAAACCTGTTTATTTAGATGTTACCCCATATTATGTTTTTTTTTTTTTTGCCAGTGTTGAATTTCTCTCAGGACAACGCTTTCTCTTTACCAGGTCAAATAAATGTTGTCTTAGGTTTTATATTTATATTTATTTAAATAAAATCTAGGCTAAATTCATATATAAATGCCTTAAACAAAACTACATTTTTATTATTATTATTTTTATTATTATTATTTACTCTGTAAGATTAGTTGAATTTCTGTCAGGACAAAGCTCTTCTTTATAGGGTTTTCTCGTTACCAGGTTAAAAACAACCCATTATTTGTTAAATTTTTTGATACAGCCAAAGAGAAGAAATTGATTTTATTTCGTTTGTTGTCAAAGGCTTTCTTATTGTCCCGATGAGATGCTCCAGTGGGTTTGGTTGTGTTATACAGGGTGTGGCTCTGCTTAAATATTCATCTCATTTTCAGACTTCAAGAAGAGATGCTCCAGAGAGAGGATGCGGAGAACACCCTTCGGGGTTTCAGACAGGTACATCTTCGTATGTTCAGAGAAACCACAACCATTTTTATATGTGTTCTTGGACCTGATGTTTGATTGGGTGCTACCACAGCCACAATTACAATGTGATCAGTTAGCGTTCCAGTCAGTGTTTGCAAGACGCTACTGATTGTCTCCTCACAATAAAAGGGTCAGTGCAGGCCTGGTCAAGCTGCCCTCTTGTCCGGCATCAGATTTAGACACGCAACTGAAAAGAAAGCTTTGTCTGAGAACAGGCTGGACGTTCATGACAAAGCAAACTGTTGTATGAGTGGGAGGGGCCAGTGTTAACCAGGGTACACTGGTGACTTATGGACACAGAGGAGAGGATGTGTGTGTGTGTGTGTGTGTGTGCTTTAAAGGGAGTCTGCCACTACCAGCTGCAGCACTACAAACAGTTAGCAGCAGGCAAGCTATTGTTATTCACTTCAGAAAGGAATAGCTTAAAAGAATTTACATAAACTACCATTCAAAAGCTTGGGGTCAATAAGATTATTTTAAAATAAATTAATACTTTAGTTAATACAACTGCATGGTTGCATTTAATTGATCAGAATTGACAGTACAAACATTTATATAATGGTACAAAAGATTTCTATTTCAAATAAATGCTGTTCTATCCATCAAATAATCCTAAACAAAATATTTTTTTTTTAGGATGTATCGTGGTTTGCACAAACATTAAGGAGCACAACCGTTTTCAACATTGATAATAATAGGATATGTTTCTAAAGCATCAAATAAACATATTAGAATGATTTCTGAAGGATCATGTGACACTTTAGACTGGAGGAATGATGCTGAAAATTCAGCTTTGCATCACAGGAATAAATTACATTTTAAAATATGTTAACATAGAAAACTGTTATTTTAAATTGTAATAATATTTCCCAATATTCCTGTATTTTTGTCCAAATAAATGCAGCCTTGTTGAGGATAAGAGACTGTTCTCAAAAACATTTAAAAATGACCCTAAGTATTTGAACTGTAGTGTATAATGTGATTCTTTTAGTGCAAAGGAATAGAAGAATGAGAAAAGGGAACTGTGTAGAACTCATAGGAAAAACAAGTGGAAGTTTAAAACAACATTTTTAGGAGAAATGTCTCCTAGGTTTATACAAATAAATCTGATGAATATTTTATGTGTGTTACGCCCACAGGATGTTGATAACGCCTCCCTGGCTCGTCTGGACCTGGAGAGAAAGGTGGAATCCTTGCAAGAAGAGATCGCTTTCTTGAAGAAGCTTCATGATGAGGTACTGAACCACCTGGAGAGAGAAACATCAAAATGAGATGTCTTTAATATCTTAGGTGTTTCTCATTCATAGCATTAACATGAAATGCAAATGTCAATTTTTACATTATTTTTACCCCAATAATGTCACGTGTCTCCTCAAGAGTGTCAGAAAAGATCTCAATAATCGCCAGGACATGAATTAAAAAATTAGAGATTTTAATACGAATTGAAACCTTTCTTAGAGACCAAACTCTATAAGTTTATACATGCATAATCTCTTCTTCTAATGAATTTTGGGAGAAACATACAAGACAAAGCTCATGGTTTAAAAAACAACAACTCAGAGTCTCCTGAGCCATAAAAGAGTAGCTCTGAACAATAAAATGAATAAAATTTCCTCTGGTCATTCAACCATTCTTCTCACAGTCGTGGTTTTCTGGCTGACTGACACTTTTGTTGGGCTTGTTAATATCAGGGGATTGTCAGGCATGTGTGACTTGTTGCCATAGTGATTAAATGGGGTGTAATTCCAAGAGAATAAAGCGGAGACATTGTTTCAGGATCAGGAAGTACATTAGTTCAGGACTAAAAAACTATTGCTATTGTATTTCAGAATGAGATTTGTTCAGTTTACGTTCAAATCAAAAACCCAAAATTATGGCACACAATTATTATACATTACCATTCAATAGCTGGGGTCAGTCAGATATTCTTTTGAAAGAAATTAATAATTTTATTTTGCAAGGATGCATTCAATTAATCAAAAATGACAAAAATGCTTATAATACTTATAATGTAAGAAATAAACTATACAAATTAAACAAATTATAATGTACAATAATCCGTGTACCAAAAATATTAAACCGTTTTCAATATTATTGATAATAAATGTTTCTTGAGCAGCAAATCAGCATATTAGCATGATTTCTGACGGATCATGTGACACTGAAGACTGGAGTACTGATGCAGAAAATTCAGCTTTGCATGCATTTTAAAATATATTCACATAGAAAACAGTTATTGTAAATTGCATTACTATTTCACAATATTACTGTATTGTACTGACCTTGAACTTTTGAACAACAGTGTACAATGCGATATTCACACTGTAAAAAATGACCGTGATTTTAACGGTAAAAGACTGTAAAAATGCTACAGTAAAAACCTGTTAAATGGTTAACGGTAAA